CCCGTATTCCAGTTCTTCTGGACTCGAAGGTGGCCCTGGGGGCGTCCGCTCACGGGCGTAGCAGCTCCCCTGGGTTGTCCCACGTTCTTTCCACCACTTTGCCTTATGTGATCGGGGGAGGTCTTTATATGGGAGGGTTATACGTGCCAACGGATGTGCATCGAGCAGACGATCCTACCAGGAATCGCCCCGTCAGGCCCCCTTCTATACCTCCACCGTCCTGGCTGGTTGAAGCCGAAGCGGGAGACTTCACCAGGTTTGATTGTGTCGCATACGCGGACTCCCGTGCACCTTATCCCACATGTCTGTGGGGACGCCTTGTCGCGTTGCTGCTGTCTCGAGGGCTCCTCGACAGCCCCGTGGGCCACAATGGGGCGGCCTGTTCCCCCCTCGCGGCGGGCGTGGGGCTGACCGCCGCTGCAGACGACGCCGAGGGGCCAACTGCCGGAGCCCCTGGCGCCTGCAGCGCTGACGGGGCGCCCGCTGAGGCGCTCGGCCCCCGTGTGGGGCCGCGGAACGCGCTGTTCCAGCCGCGCGACGAGGGTCCCGGCAGCTGCGCGGAGGGGGCAGCCCGCCTTGTTGCTCCCCCCGCGCTCTCGTCGGCCCCCGACGCGCGTCCCAAGACGCGGTCGGCCCCCCAGCCTGCCGTCGGGGGTGGCCAAGCTCGCACAGTTGGGCGCGACTTCCCGACGGGCCGCGAGGCCGCGACACCTCACGCCTTCCAGCGCGCCGCCCGCCTGGGCCGAGCCCGCCAAGTGCTCGGGGTCGCGGAGGGCGCCCACAGGGACGCGATCGAGGGCTCGTTCCGGCGCCTCTCGGTCCCGTGCCGTCCCGACAAGGCACCCGCGGGGTTGACAGCTGCCGAAGCGGTCGCCCGCGTCCAGCGGTGGAAGGACTTGTGCGACGCGAAGTCCCTGCTGCTGAAGGCGGCGGCGCATCAGTCGGCGTCCGCCGTGCTCGCGCCTCCGCAGGCGAGCCAGCCGTCCAGGCTTCCGCTTGGGCCGAGGCCGTTGGCCAGGGCGCCCGCCGAGGGGCCCCTCCCGCAGAACACGCGTGCCGTCCTGCACAACGCTGAGGTCAAGACGGGCCTCGCCAACGAGGAGCGCGCCGCTCGCGGTGGGGACGCACCCGCGTCGTCTACTGGCCGCTCCTTGGCCGAGGTGGAGGCCGAGGATCCGCGCGCCCTGGCGCGGCCCGCCGACGACCCTGCGTCCCGCTTCAGCCTCCGTGAGCGGCGCGCAGTCCGCGCCCGCCCGGGCCCGCGGGATGAGGCGGTCGAGGACCAGCCCAACCGCGGTGGTCACGCGCCGCACTCCGCCTCGCGCACGGGCGCCGCGCGCACCAGGCGCGCCGCCAGGCAACGGCGGGCTTCGATGGCGGCGCTCCCCGCCCCTGAGGGGGGAGCCGCCACGGCGCCTGGCCGCAGGGCGCGTCGCACAGCCAATGCGCGCCGCTGGGCAGGCGTGGCACGCCCCAGCTCCGCCGCGGGAGTGGGCTCCCCACAGCGGAGCCCCAGCGCTGCCCGCGGCCGTACGCGGTCTCCAAACCCGTACGGGAGGGACCACACCTCTCCCTCGGGGGGCGGCTCTTCGCCTCCCGTCGACGGCCCGCTCTCGCCCGAGGAGCCGTCGGAGCCGCCCGCGGGAGTGGCACCGGAGGGCCCCCACGCCAGAGCCCCGAGGTGCCCCCCGCGCTCGCCCGACGGGTCACCGCCCGCGAGCGTTCGCAGCCGTTCGAGAGCGGAGCCCGCGTGCGACGAGGACGAGGCGTTCGACTCCGACGACGCCCTTCTGCAAGAGGGCGCGCTCGCCTCTCTGAGCGCCCTCGCGGACTCTTCGATGGACCTTGAGCGCGTCGTGGCGGGCATGAACCCCGAGGTCCTCCGCCGCCTGCAGACGGTTTTCCCTGGTGGCTCGGCTGAACGAGGACCCCGCGACGAGCGCTCCCGCTCTCATGAGCGCTCCGGCAGCAGGAGGGGTTCTCCCCGCAGCCACGGGGGCAGGCAGCAGCGCGGTAACAGGGGGCACCCTCCTCGCCGCTCGGGGGGCTCCCCGCCCGCCGCTCGCGCCTCGGCTCGCAGCCGCTCTCGGGGCCGCGGTCCGCGCGTAGGCTCCGAGCCTCCGCGGCCCTTGCTCCCGCCGCCGCCTCCGCCCCCTCGCCCTTCAGACAGGCGAGAGGCGTCGCGCTCCAGGGGCGCCCGCGGCTCCCCCCGCGCGCCCTCGCGACAGGTGACGTCGCCTCGGCGTCGCGAGGCGCGCGCCCCTCGGGTCGCTCCGAAGCGGCGCCCGAGCCCAGCTACGGCGCCTCGGCAGGCCGCGCCCCGCCAGGGTGCGAGCTCGGGCGGCGCCCACGCAGGCAGCTACCGCGCGGGCCCCGCTGCTCAGGCCCCCCCGTCCTCGGTGGGCACGCGCTCCTCCAGCGATGCTGCTGCGGCCCCGCAGGGCGGAGGGCGTGCCGCCGAGGAACGGGGGTCTTCGAGCGGCCTCGCGCCTGGCCGGGGCTCGGGGCGCGAGCTGCATCCCAGCGGCACCCACAGCGGCGACCCCGGGAGCGCCGCGGCTGCAGCCTTCGCAGCGCGGCGCACGGCTTCCGAGGCCGTCGAGCAGCCCTTGCCCACTCTGACTCAGGGGAGTGCGGCCCCACTGTCCCCTATCTCGGATTCCCGCGTTCCGCGTCTGAACTTCCCTCACCTGTCCGCCGACGAAGCGGCGCGCCTGGGCCTGCAGGCGCCGACCGTCGAGGCCATCTTGGCCAGGGCCCCTGGGCCCCCTCAACGCGTCCAGACCTGCGCTCTGGTTCCTGCCTCCGCCCTAGTAGCGGCTTGGGGGAACGGGCGGGGCAGTGGCGCCTCGACGCAGCCGCCCGCTGCTCTCTCCCCGAGCATCCTGCCGCCCCTGGGGTTGGCCAGTCTCGATGAGGGCGCAGGCTCCGCCGAGGTGGCCGCAGGTGACGTCAGGGGAGCTTGCGCCGAGGCTCCCCAGAGGACCCTGCATCTGGCCCTCGAGTGCCTCCTTATGGCGCTCGAGCAGGGCGCAAGCTCCGCCGAAGTGGCCGCAGGGGACGTCATGGGAGCGTGCGCCGAGGCTCCCCAGACGACCCTGAATCGGGCCCTCGAGCGCCTCATTTTGGCGCTTCGGCAAGGCGCAAGCTTCGCCAAGGTGGCCGCAGGGGACGTCATGGGAGCGTGCGCCGAGGCTCCCCAGACGACCCTGAATCTGGTCCTCGAGTGCATCCTTCTGGCGCTTCAGCAGGGGAGCCACGTTTCACGACACTGGCTTAAGTAGCGGCCAGATTGTTCAGCCGACGACGCTGCGTCGGCCAGAGCAGGGGGGTAAGCATTTGGACTTCACCGATCCGCTCCCGCCCTGCGCGCGTTGCGGCTTCCGTACTCGGTGAAACTATTTGCTTTCGGCTATTGGCGTGCTGATCGTCTAAACGGCCTTCTCGCCCCCCTACGAGCTGTCCGCTCTCCCTGAGCCCCCTTTGTGCTCAGGTCGCCTGTCGTACTGTCAGTTGCGACCTCTGTCGCTGCCCGCCCGCGACGTCCTTGTCGCTTCCCTTCTAGGGGTCGGCCCTGCTGTATGGACCACCCGTCTATCGGCCGCCCGCCGAAACCTTGTCACTGCGCAAGGGCTTTGAGCATGGGTATGGCTGCATCGCCGTTTACGGCGACCAGGCGGACTCCACCGCCTGAGGCGGCGCCCCGGCTCGGGCGCGCGGGGCGGGCCTGCCCATTTTGGGCCGTTCCGCGCGCGCGGCGCCGCGGCCCCGCACGGAGACAGCTCGCTTGCGCGCGAGCGGGAGAATGCTCCTCTCTATTCTCCTTGCGACCCGCGCTCTTGCTGTCTCTGCAGCTTCTCAGCCCCCCTCCCTCCTCTCCCTCATCTTGGCTGATGTGGCGCTGCATCGCCGTTTACGGCGACCAGGCGGACTCCACCGCCTGAGGCGGCGCCCCGGCTCGGGCGCGCGGGGCGGGCCTGCCCATTTTGGGCCGTTCCGCGCGCGCGGCGCCGCGGCCCCGCACGGAGACAGCTCGCTTGCGCGCGAGCGGGAGAATGTATGTATGTATGTATGAATGATCGCATGTATGTATGTACGTATGTACGTATGTGTGTATGTGTGTATGTATGTATGTATGTATGTATGTATGTATGTATGTATGTATGTATATATGTATGTATGTATGTATGTATGTATGTGTGTGTGTATGTATGTATGTATGTATGTGTGTGTATGTATGTATGTATGTATGTGTGTATGTGTATGTGTGTATGTGTGTATGTGTGTATGTATGTATGTAAGTAAGTAAGTAAGTATGTACGTATGTATGTATGTATGTATGTATGTATGCATGGTTGCATGGATACATGTATGCATGCATGTATGTATGTATGTATGGATGGATGGATGGATGGATGGATGGATGCAGGTAGGTAGGTAGGTAGGTAGGTAGGTAGGTACGTAGGTATGCAGGTATATATGTATGTATGCATGTATGTATGTTATGTATGTACGTGTGCAGTCTTTGCTCCGAGGGGTCTCTCGGGATCGGTCCTGTCACAGCGTCCCAGGATGACCTCAGGAGCGCTTGGTCTCGTGTTGCTATCGAAAGCGGAGGCAGCCCTTCCCCTCCGCTGGTGCAGGCGTCTGCTGGATCGGCGACAGGATGCAGCAGGCCTGAGGCCGCTGCCATCCGCTGTGTGTCGGAGGCCCTCTTCCTCGAAGAGGATGGGCAGCCCCTCGTCCCCGCCTGTGCTGACGACAACGTCGAGAGCTCAGATGAAGAGGGAGCTGAATGTTAGGTTCTTCCCCCGACATGGTCCCTTTCATCTGGGGGGGGGCATTTAGCCGTGCAGCTTATTAAAAAGACTATCATCTTCCGCGTTGCCGTCCCCATCATATTCCTCTCGTCGTGGTCTTCAGCATAGACCTCCTCTTCCCCTCCCCCTCCCCGTCCCCTCCCGGCGCAGTGTTTCCATTGTAGCCTGGGGGTTGTGGAGGATGGCAGCTCGAGGTCCCGCAGTTCCTCCCCGGAGGATTCACCGCCGCCCAATAGGCGCGCCTCGTGTCCACCGCCAGGGGCTGGAGGGGGGAGGGAGGAGAGTCGAGGGAGGAGGCAGGGAGGCGAGGAGCCAGAACTGCGGAGGAGTGCGAGAGGAGGGCAGGGGGGAGGAGGGAGGAGATGGGGAGGATTTGAGGCAGGGGGGAGAAGAGTGAGGAAGGAGGCGGAGGGAGGAGGGCGGACGGTGGGCGGGAGGGAAGAGGCGGTTGGGAGGAGCATCACGGTAAAAGGATGCGCGGTGAGGGAGGGTAGAGGATGAATGATAGAGGGTGGAGTATGGAAGGTGCGGGTTGGGTGATGGGAGATAGAGGATGGAAAGTGCTGGTTGGGTGACGGATGATGTGACTGCGTGGTGATCGACTTGCAGGCAGCATTCACGGACACGTGAGGAACCCGCAACGCGCAGCCCAGTGTCGTGCAACCCACACGGCCTCCGTTGATGATTTTATTTCAGGGGCATTTGCTCCCTCGTGCATGGAGAGGAGGATAACATGTTCAAGGATGAGGAAGCGAAGCGAGCCTCTTCCTGGGCCGGTCGATCCAGTCCCGCGCGCTGCGGTCCGGTCGGGCCAGTCCGGGCCGGTCGGTCCGCGAGATTGGCGGTATCACCCGACCAGGCCAGTCGGGCCTCGTGTCCGTTGAGCCTAAAACAGGGCCAGGATCGGGACAAATCGCTCCAGAGCGTTCTGGAGCGCTCTCAGAGCGTTCCGGAACGCTCTGGAGCGGCCGCGGCGCCCAATACATCCTCCAAACCCGCCGATTCTCATAGATTTCGAGTTATCCCGATCCGATTTTGCCCCGATCTTCGCGTCGTCTTAAGTCGGGCCTCGTGTCCTGTAGGCCCCGAGGCGCGTCCCTGTTGGAGCGCACGGCCCCGCGGCCCTGGCTCCCCACCGTGCGCGCCAAGCTTGCACAGTAGAGCTTGCGCCGCTGAGCTCCCACCGCACAGCTTTCTTCAGTCGGGGGTGGACAGAACCCCCAACAGTGACACGTCGATTAGTGAATTGTCCGTTTTCGGTTCTCGAGAGGGCGCCGTGGCCGTTATCTTCCAGGCTCGCGCCCGCCAGGTTTGGGCCTCAGGTCGTTTTCACTAAACCACGTTTTACTGAAGGGGGGTCTGTCCATCCTCGATTCAGGTAGCTCACACCACATAGCTCGCGCATCAGCTTACACCTCCAGGAGGAAGAGGGCGGAGGCGGCCTCTATGATGAGGAGGGGGGCAGGAGGAGTCTGCGGCCTCAGGTCTCGACTCGGCTGATTTGGTCGGGGGGGTGCTGGACCTTCATGCCACCTGCCCCATGGAGGGGGGCAGATCGCCCGCAGCGTGTTGCCGCCTTCCGCGAGCAGCACCGTGCCCCCGTTTCTTCCTGGTTTCTCCCGTCCTTCGCGCTCCTCCCTTCCAGTCCTCCCTCCCCCGATTTGCCCTTATCACCGCAACGTGCTTCGATGCGCTTCGTGTGCATTCGCTTGTACCCCCCGACTCCTTGCACGGGTCACGCGGTCAATCGCGGCCCTTGTTTTTAGGGTCTAGCTGATTCTATACAAACTATCCTTTCCTATCTGCCATCTCGTCCTCTTTTCTCCCCTTCTCCTCCTCGAGCCGTACACGCTGCAAATCATGAGGCAGCCGACGAGCGGCTCCCGCAGAGAGGCGAGTTCAAGCTGACATTATTTTCTTTTGCCCACGTGCTCCGGCGTACGGCATTTAGTTCGTTCGTCCTCCTCGTCCTTCGTGTCCTCGTTCTCCTTGTCCCCCTCGTCCTCGTTCGTTCCCTCGTCCTCCTCGTCCTCCTCGTCTACCTCGTCCTCCTCGTCCTCGTCCTCGTTCGTTCGTTCTTTCGTTCGTCCCCCTTGTCCTCCTCGCCCTCGTTCGTTCGTTCTCCTCGTCCTCCTCGTCCCCCTCCTCCTCCTCCTGGACCTCGTTCGTTCGTTCGTTCATCCGCGTCGTCCTCCCCCTTCTCCTGCTGGAGTGTGGTGCTGGCCACGCTCGGGCTCCGCCCGGTCGCGCCTCGCTGCTGCGCTTCCCGCGTCTTCCTCGAGCCCTGTGTCGCGCCATCTTTCGGTGCGATCGCCATGGGTACGGACAGGACGGGCACGAAGAACGACACCAGTTCCTGTTCGTTTTGAGCAGGGCTCGGTGTCTGTGTCGCGGTGGACGTTGTCCACTTGGGAAAAAAAAAGGCCGCCTGTCCAACAGCGGTTGCTGCGGGTCTTGGACAACGTTTGCTGTTGGGTATCGTGCCCATTTGTTCCGTGCCCTGCGCCGTTCTCAAGTCCTGTGTAGCGCCATGTTGGCCGAGGCTTTGTTTGCACGCTTGGGGCGGGCCTGCTCGGGCATGCACTGAGGCTCGTGCGTCGCATGTGTGTTCGCTCTGGGCGCTTTCGCACCGCTTCGGACCCCGGGGCCCCCGCACAGTGATTTTGACGACGTTTCATTTTTCGCGACGTCCGATCTCAGGGCAGTCTATGTGCAGGCAATGTCTATATCCACATCCAGTGCGTCTTGACGTTTAGGACTCTCTCCCCAAGAAACATGAGGCGCACTGGGTATGGATCATGATCTGCCTCCAAAAGGCTCGATTTTTATCCGTATCCAGTGCGCCTCGGCCTTGCGGCGCCCCTTCCAAGAAAGTCCAAGACGCACTGGATATGGATACAAATACTGCCCGCACGATGTATATAGCCTGCGGCCCCCGACACGGTGAGGCCGCAGGTCGCCCCCAGCCTGCCGCCGTGGAGCGCGTGCAGTCGTGTGCGGGCGGGCACGTGGGCGGTGCGTGGAGCCGACGGGGTTTCCGGGAGAAGGTGGGAGGGGGAAAGATTCGGGGGCAGAAGAGAGGGGGGTGATGACCAGGGGGGGGTGGATATCATGGCGGGGGCCATCATATTTCCCCAGATCTCATGGCGCCTCTTCTTGTTTCACGAAGTTCCTGGCCCCCCCCCCCCCTGGGCCGCGCACATGCCGCCGGCCATGATGTGCACCCCCCCCTCTTGGACACCCCCCTCTTGGCCGCTCCCGAAAGATGGTCGGCAGGTGCCAGAATGTCTGGGCAATCGGTTCCACGGCGGGTGGCGTTCGTTGGTGTCCCGATGCTCGATGTGTCCCGAGCATGTCCGGATCATCTGGCGTTGTTCGTTATTGTCACCGCGCGAGTGAAGCCAGTTTCTTGCTGCCAGAGTTGCAAGCGACCTACATTTCCCAATACACGTGAGTTCTTGGCAGCGTGAGCGTTTGCTCGTTGTCATTCGGCGTGAGCCTGGGTGACGAAGCGACCGAGGAAGGGAGGGGTGCAACAGTCGTTTCGTTTATGTGCATGTCCTAGTCCCTGCTATTGCTGCTGCCTGCCCTCACCCCCATCCGCCCGTAGCCTTGTTGGCTGAGGGGACCCCCTTTGGCTGTGCTACGCGCCCAGAGATTTTTACTTATTGCGAGACGGTCTTGGAAGACATATCGCCGACGTGCGCACTGCATTGGCAGCGGAGCGTGTATTTCGAGCTCCTTCGCACGAGAACGCTCGTAGACAGACGGTGACCCGACGGACACTCCCATGCTGAATCGCACAGTCTCCGACGCATCTTTTATGTATCGCGCGACGGCTGGCCGCGGAGCTGCTGCTGCTGCTGATGCTGAGAGTTTTCGCGGCGACGCCGCACCTGCTCGACCTCGCCGCTATCGTGGCCGCAATGGTGGCCGCCCCTTGGCTGCGGCGGCAGCAGCTGCCGAGCCAGCTGACGAGGATGGCGACTACGATTGGCTCCAGGATGGTGACCCGCAGGCCGACGGTGGAGACGGAGAGGGCCCCGACGCCGAGTATGAGGACGTCGCATCGGAGGTGCCCCTGAGTTCGGCGGAGTACAGACATGCACGTGGTGAACGCAAGATGTGGCGTGGTGGACCGTGCCCAACCCTGCCTTCCACGGAGGCCAGATTTCAGTTCATTCATAACCAACCGAGATCGTAGCATAAGTGGATCGGACAAGTTCAGATATGGAAGGCCAAGGCGCGTCACCACAAGCCGACCGCGGAGCTGGCCTTCGACTTCGTACATGCCATCACCTGTGAGGGTGCCGAAATGATTGGGTCGCTGGAATGGACGAGGCTCTACTTTAAGGACGGCATCGACTTCATCCTGGCGTCCCTCGCCGTGTCCAACGAACAGCAGATCCTGCAGGTGGGCGACCTCGTGGAGAAAGAAACGGAACGGTTTCCTGGCGAGCTGCTCGCCGCGAACGTCGCCCATTTGCAAGATCTAGAAATGAGGCTGACACGCGCCGAGCCACCAGAACTGCGAAGCCAATCCCGATCCTTCAAGCTGCTGAGGAGCGCGTGCCTATCCACCGAGGCGAAACGCAATCTACTGCTGGTCACGGGGAATGAGTACGACTTCGACCGCCTTGTCTTGGCCACGAGCGTGCAGTGGCCTTCGAGAGCGCCCAAGTGGGTAGCCCCAATATTGCGGATGGCACTCAAGAGGCTTGGCGAGTCGGCCCCCCAGGAACGCCGACAAGGTCCATGCAATCAAGATGACAAAGGCAGTGGCAAAGGCAGAGACCGACAAAGAGGGCGAGCTCCTCGACCAGCGCCTGAGCCACCCCGCGTCGGCGAGGCCGACATCGACGGAGAAAACGAAGACGAGCCAGAGGATCATGACAACATCAGGACGGCCGAACTGAATGAGGCCGACCTCGGCGAGATGGATGCCACAGCGGTCATGCAGGGGGTGGCCGACGCGCTGACGGTCGCCAGCGCCAAGCTGAAGAAGTTGACCCTCGGCAGAGGCTGGACGGGTCTCGCGCCAGCTCCTACGCCAGGCGATCGCCGTTCAACCCCATCGACCGTCGGCGCGGGCAGCGAAACAGACGTCGGCCCCATCGTCGCGACAGCCGGCGGCTGCGTCCAGCGCGCCGTCGAGAGGAAACGCATCGCCGACAACGGGCGCGTCTTTCTCTGGCAATTTCCGCGGCACCTTCACGGGCTCATGCTCGACCGACTC